GGAATATTAAATAATTTTTTAGCAAAATTGGTTTTATTATTTTGGTTTAATTCTAAAAAAATAAACAGTAAACACTTTACATTTGCATCAAATATTTATTCTATCATTTTATAGACAGAGTACAATAATTGATAATTATTATCAAAATATTTCGGCTCTTAATGAGCAATTTAAAGTAAATTTAATTGTTCTAACATTATATTTTTTTTTTAATTATATGATAATATACAATTTAAAACTGAAACAAGTTTTCACATACGTTTTTATTGTAGAAATAAACAAAAAAAGTTAGTACAAATGTTGTATACTGCCGATTCTAAATTAGGTAAATGGTTTTAGTATTAATAGTAGTTAGGAATTTATGATGTACATTGTACAATAGTATGACTTGGCTAGTGACAGGTAGAAATTATTATTAATTAATTTTAAAAAACAATATATCAAAAATACTAATTCTATAAGATTTTTCCAAACTTAAGAATAGATCATTTAATACTATTTTAGTTTTTATTTGGATGATATATCTTCAGTATTCATTAGGATATTTATTAATTATATGTTACACAATTCATGTATTAAATTTACTTTTTCAACAGTTAGTAGGTAACATTTAATTAGGTCTTATGCATTATAGTATGTATTAATTCAAAATAATTATGTCAAAAATAATTAAACCAATAATTTATTAAAATTATTTACCTAGTTATTTAAAATAATTATCCATTTACAAATTAGGTTTATATCTTTTTATTTTAATACGTGTTACTTTATGTACTCAATACTTTGTTTGTATATTGTAATGACAACATAATATTAATATTATATTTAGAAATAAAAACATTTATTAATTATAGCCACAATTTTAAAAATTATTTTATCCTAACGTCCAAATATTACAAATAATCCAATTTATAAATACTGAGCTATTTAGCTATCGTAATGTCAGATTAAAGAATTTATTACCATTAATCTTACTGTAATTCTGTGTGATTGTATTTTAAAAGAATAATATGAGATATTACCTATATGAGATAATGTTTTATCCTGTAAGTTACTAATTCACTTAAAATGCATAAGTAATAATATAATGTTAATTGTTTATTTAATATATTGTATTAATTATAATTCAACGATACTATTTACCTATTCATTTTTAAATTACCTTTTAATGTCGTTATTTTTTCAAGATATACTTATATGGTTTCTATATGTTCAGTATCAGTTTTAAAGAAATTCCCGTAAACATATAATACAAGTTATTTTCATTAGTTATTTTTATTATTTTAATATCATCTTGGAAATCGGGACCTAACACACACTACTACACCAGTATTCTAATTATTATACAGTTGTAAGGTTTCATATCAATAAAATATTATTTATGAAAAGTGGCTGAAAAAAGGCACTAAACACTTACAAAGAAAGATAGGTATATTTGGAGAAAATTCCATACCACTGAAAAATAACAATCACTCTTTTGAAATCAATATTAATCTTAACAACACTTCATTTTTAAAAATGTAAATGTTTATGATACAATTTTTTGGGGAATATTTATTTATGAGTATTGTTTAACTGATTTGTTTTTAAATAAAATATTTAATTGCCAATGTGTAAAATGTACCTAAATAAATATTTGATACCCCCCCCATCAAAGACACTCAGTATGCACCTACATCGCGCCGCTCACTATTTCCCCAGCTATAATAAGTGTCTGCAATAATTTGTTTGTAGTACCTATAGTTTTCAAAGATGTTTACTTTGTACCAGTAAACAATTAATCCACTTTCATATTTTTATAATATGATATAATCATGTCTTTAATCTTTTCATAGTGAGCCATATTATTTGAGTACAAGTTATGATGAGTTGTTTGCATGCTAAGTACTCACACCTGCATTCAGTTAATATGTGTTTTTTGCTGTGTCAATTATAACTGTCAATGTATTTTATTAACATTCTGTTGAAAGCAGAACAGAACAGACATTTTCTACATACAAATTGATTAGCACGTAAAGGGCGAACTGGGAATTTTATTTTTAATGCGAATTGTTAGGCAGATACATTTTTTAAAAATGTAACCGAACCAAAATATGTATAAATTGTATAAAATTGTATAATTGTATACAATTTATATATAGGATAATATTTCTATAATGGTTTACAACAATATAAATAGATAGATAAGAAATTACCTATTTAGAAATAATACAATATAAAAGATTAGTTTTAGTAACTTTAATTTTCATTCAAAATCATCATACCTTGGCCCATATATTCCAAACTTATTACCATTGAAGACATTAGAACACAAAGCTAAAGAATTACCTCAAAAATTACTATAATTCGAATTCAATTTAGAATATACTTAAAACTTTTCAAAAAGTCATATGCTTGAAAAATAACAATTTTCAAGAAAAAAGAGTGATACACTGATACCTACTCATTTAAAAAAAAAATCAAAGTTCTCAGGAGACTATATTTTATAATAATATTATATACAAACTCTAAGTATTTGAAAATATTATTATGATTTGAATATTTTATTCATTATTTTAAATTGTACCTAATATATAGCTATATTACGGTGATTATAGAATATGAACAACTGTTGTCTGATGTGTGTCTAATATACCTCGACGTGCCGCCTTTTTATCGTAATTTTTGGCATTCTTGGAAAACGGATGCATCTCGTTGGACCGGAAATGACACTCCTCGCAAATATAATACCATATTAATTATAAATATACTATATTATGTTTATACATCAATAATAATACGTAAATACTCATTCCACCGTAATTGTGTAGCGTTTCACACCACTCACGACGACTTGACCATGCGAAAACGGTTTGATTGAGAATGGTATTGAAAGTCAGACAGCGAGGTGAACGTAGGTAAAAATATGAGAGGCCATTGTTTTTCAATAAGAATAATTAAGATTTAAGACTAACCGATGACGGAAAATAATATCGTTTACCTGCTCTCGAGTATACCTAGGTACACTCGAGTATACTGTATACAATATGGACCACGGTTGCAGAATATAAACCTCGGACGAGTCTCCGTTCTAAATACTTGAGACGGTATGTAATTAAATATAATATTTAATGTATTTAAATCAGGGCTTCCAAACGTTATAATAACGGTATGATTATAACTTTATATTGGACCAAAAAAGATTGAAATTTGTAAATGCTATTAAAACGGAAAGTAATAATCAAAAAGGTGGGTAAGTGGATGTCGCTCTGCTGTACTGTAGGTTACAAGTGGGTCACTGTATAATGGATGGTATTAAATT